GATTCTTCCTCAGGGAAAGGGTACCGCTTTAAAACAATAATTATCAATAGTTAAACCTTTTTATACATATTGTTTATGGGCCAATAATTGAGAAACCAATTTTACAAATTGTATAACTTACATACCACCATGACAAAACAAGGGACCTCATCCTATGTGTGTGTGTGTGTGTGTGTGTGTGGGGGGGGGGGGGGGGGGACTCATTCTCCAAAACACAGCAAAGCATTTTCGTTTTGATTGATTTTGGTGGTGTGCAAGTTTACTTCTCCAATGATTCCCAGACTAGATCCACAGTGAAGCCCCTTGATTTGGCTCCAGATATTTTCATAAAGTAGGCCTCCAGCTCCCACTGAGCTGGGTCCTTGATGAACTGCAAACTTTAGCTATGCTGCCCAGAAGGACAGCAGCACTTCAGGCTCCTCTTCGACAAGAACCCTGATGCTCCAGGTCCCAGACTTTATGCACTCTCAGCCCCCTACTGGGCACATCCCCCCGGATTGGCTAAGACCACATAAATATTCAGGCAGCAGTATATCCTGCAGCCAGTGAGACTCAGAGCGGCCAAAAAATAATCATACACTGCTCCAATGATTACAGAGGAGCTAAAGGAGGGTGCTATGTTTGTTTTGTTTTAAAGAATAATGGACCCCCTTATGCCACGTAGAACTCCAGGGACTACCACAAAATTCTTGGGTGCAGAAGATGGTGTACATTAGGTTGCATTGAAAGTGTTTTGTCTTTCCTATATTTCCATGGATTTCTTTTAGCTGTTCCAGGTTTTTCCTTTAAAGCCGAACTCCACGTGTAGGCAAGTATAGTTTGACCTCCCAACACAGGTGGCGCTGCCAGCAAACACCTTGCAGGGAGAGTGGAGGACAGGAGGAACTCACATTACTCTAAGACCTCCGTAGGTGTCATTGGGTGAACAGTTGTCTAATTGGACAATGATACCGCAGATGATCTCTGTGGCCATATTTAGTGAGGGCAGTGCTTCTACAAATCTGCCGTTGGTGCACATTTAGCATATGGTTAGGTCAAAGACAGGAACCCACTGGATAGGGAGTGTGTATCTAGCGTAGTGAGAGGTTCCTGAGAAGGGCCAGAATAGAGCTGTTCAGCAACTTTTCAGTGAGAAACCTTTCCATTACAAATGTCTTGTTGCATTACCGCCGGCTAGCTGCCTCCCCTGACAGGTGTTGTCGACATCCAAGTGTCATTATCTACAAGTACTGCATAGTTATCTGTGAGTGTTGCTGCCAGTTCGTTGCTTCTGCACAGACTCTGTTAAAGTGTTGGAAGTTACGCTAATGCAGTTCCTTGCAATCACAGATCTCCATGTGTCTTTCCTTCCCCCCTGGGTATTGAATACTGGCCTGCTATCCCCTACACATTTTTATTGCCCCTTTAGACAATTTGTTTGGGAAAGTGGAATGGGGACTTCCAGTTCCACTCGGGGAGCAAAATAGAGTCTGGATGGGTGCTGCTCAGCCATTCCCGGGGAAGCTTTGTATTCTATGAATGTGGATGTCTTCCTCAAATTAAATCTTTCCAAAACCGAGCTCCTAGTTTTCCCCCCCAGCCCGCGCCCCCCCACCGACTTCTCCATCAAGACCAACAACACTATCATCAGTCCCACCCCTCAAGCCAGAGTACTAGGTGTCATCCTAGACTCCAATCTGTCCTTCCAGCACCAGGTCCAATCGCTGACAAACTCATGTAGACTTCACCTCCGCATGCCATGCCAAGTACTTTAACTGACAATTGAGCAGTCATGCAACTCTGTACATATATTAAATTTATTTAATTTCTTTTTCCCACAGGTAGAACTTTCTTTTGGTGGTATTTGATCACCTCTGGCTATTTTATTTTTTTTGCACTATAAACAAAAAAAGACTGAATTTAAAAAAATAATACAATTAAAATTTCTCCTTTAAAATATATCCAATAAAATAAAAAAAAAATCTAATTTCTTCATAACTTTAGGCCAAAATATACTCTGCTTCACATTTTTGGTAAACAAAAAAACCCCCCAATAATCCTACATTGATTGGATTGCACAAAAGCTATAGTGGCTACAAAACTACCGTATATTTACCACATTTTTTTTTAACCACTTCCAGACCGGACACTTTTACCCCCTTCCTGACCAGGGCAATTTTTCAGGTTTCAGCGCTATCACACTTTGAATGACAATTTTTTTGCGCGGTCATGCAACACTGTACCCAAATGAATTTTTTACCATTTTTTTGAGACAGATAAAGCTTTATTTTGGTGGTATTTATTCACCGCTGGGATTTTTATTTTTTTTGCTATGTAAATGAAAAAGTCCAAAAATTTTGAAAAAAAGTGTTTTTTTTTGTAAAATTTTGCAAATAAATAATATTTCATCATTAAATCTTTGCCAAAATTTATTCCGTTATCTTTTTAGTAAAAAAAAAAAAATCCAAATTAGTTTATAACCAAAAATTATATTTTTAAACATTTTTTTTACATTTTTATTTTTTTATATTATTATTTTTTTATTATTATTGTCACTGTATTAATGACACTGGCTGAGAAGAGGTTAAACATCTAGGGTGATCAAAGGGTTAACTGTGTGCCCAGCCAGTGTTTTTATATACTGTGTGTGCTGTTTTTACTAGGCAGGCTGCTAAATTTCCTTCTCCTTTGCAGGGAAAGAAAATCTAGCAGATCGCCACTGACAGAACACAGCTTGGCCTTGTATACAGCAGAGCTGTGTTCTGTCAGTGTCCTTGGCGATCAAGAGGTGCCGGCGCTCATCCATGGCTGCTGTGTTCAGTCACTGCAAAAGCGGCGTTCCCGGTGGCGTGCGTGTGCGCCCCCTACGGCGGATGTGCAAAATCACATTTATGTATGTGATTTTGCATAGAACATGTGCCCAGTAGCAGTAAATCTGCTATAGGGTGGACTTAAAGTGTCACTAACCCCCCACAACAGTACAATCAGTCTGTATATGCAGGAAAGTATGCTTGTTATACTCACTGGGGAACCTAAGGGGTTAATCCTCTGCATTGTGTAAAAAGACTGTTTGATCCTGTCTACCCCTCCTCTTGTTCAAATGTCCACGCTCATAAAACAGACTGAACCCATATCCCTTCTGCACATACTCAGTTTAGTGTGTATTGCTGATTGGCCCTGTGCTGATCACATGCACTCTCCCAAGAAAAAAAAAACTTCTCTAGCAATACACATCAAACTGAACATGTGCAAATGCCTACGGTTCAGTCTGTCCTATCAGGAGATAAGAGGTGGCCGCTTGAAAAAGGTGGAGAACAGAGAAGACAGGATCAAACAGCCTTTTTTGCACAGTGCAGAGGATTAACCCCTTAGGTCCCACAGTGAGTATAACAAGCATGCTTTACTGCATATAAAGACTGATTTTCCTGTTGTGGGTTTAGTAAGACCTTAATTTCCTTTGCACACCATTGGGTATTCAAAGTGACTGTAGTGTCTCCTAGTTTACAAAACTTAGGCTACTTTCACACTGATCTGTGGCAAAAACACAAGAAGAACGTTTTTTACCGCACTTTTGCAATGCTTTCTGAGCATTTTTAAGGACACACTTCTCAGAGGCGTTTTTGAGGCACTTTTCAGGCATTTTCCAATGATTTCAATGGGAAGAGGCATTTTGCGGGTGTTTTTTTAACTCCCCAAACATGCCCCAAAGATGCTGCAAGCAAGAGTTTTTACACCGCACCACAAGAGCAATGCCTGAGTGTGAAAACATACATAGATATACAAGAAAGTGCAGCGCTAAAATAAATATGATATCCAAATGACTCTGTAAAATCAATCACTAAATCCAACTAATAAAATATTCAGTCTAAATTCAAATGGTGAAATGTTTTTTTTATCCACATGGGATTACAAGGGGAAGGACTGCTGCATCACGTAGTCCTGCTGGAGCATGTGGCCTCCCTATTGGGGGCACTCTTTGAGATTCAACTGCAAAGGATTCCACCTGAAAAGGACCTATGCTGAATGGACTCTGCTTTCATGTGAAGGACGGATTGCCATACCCTGAGGGCTGATCTGCATATCCAGAGAGTTACTTCAGGTGGAAAAAGAGGAGCTTTAGAGGAGGAGGACCATCCTTACCAACCCCATAAACATCTAATTTGATGACCCACCATCTCTGAGAGGGAAGTCCATCTACTTAATACCTGTCTGATGCAGGGGCGAACTGACAACTCATGGGGCCCCCGAGCAATAGGGAATCATGGGGCCCCTGTGTCCTTGCCCAAACTCAAAAAAGCCAATGAAAAAGGTACCAGGGGCATCTCATGGGGCCCCCTACTGACCTCGGGCCCTCGGGCAGTGCCCAAGTTTCCAAATGGTCACTCCACCCCTGGTCTGATGACATCTGGATTTTTTACATAAGGCACAATAATTATGCGCATCCGGTGAGTGCGCATTACCTTTACCACTACTGCACTGATACCGGATCCAGAGTCACCAAAGCACGAGAGTCACTTTATATATTATTCACATTGGAACTTTTTTTGATTTCACTATTTGAATTTAGACTGAATATTTTATTAGTTGGATTTAGTGATTGATTTTACAGAGTCATTTGGATATCATATGTATTTTAGCGCCGCACTTTCTTGTATATTATCTATGTTCTAGGGTGCTATTGGTTACCTTTTTGTGCATAGCAGCTTTTCTGATTTATATTTAAGGCGCTCGCATCTCTTTTGTTTACATAGATATACATTCACATACACAGGGAAGCAGTTTTCTTAAACTTTTCAGGCGCTTTTTGTAATGCAAAAATACTCCAAAAACTCCTCAGTGTGAAAGTAGCCTAACAATGAATGTTACTGCAAGCATGATGATCATTTTTGGCACATGCCTTGAATGTACGTAACAAATAGTGCTTTTACACACATTCATGGAATAATTAAACTGTTACTAAACCCTGGACCCTGCATTCACTGTATCTGGTCTCCCCCGGACCCTGCATTCACTATATCTGGTCTCCCCGGACCCTGCATTCACTATATCTGGTCTCCCCGGACCCTGCATTCACTATATCTGGTCTCCCCGGACCCTGCATTCACTATATCTGGTCTCCCCGGACCCTGCATTCACTATATCTGGTCTCCCCGGACCCTGCATTCACTATATCTGGTCTCCATGGACCCTGCATTCACTATATCTGGTCTCCCTGGACCCTGCATTCACTATATCCGGTCTCCCCCCGACCCTGCATTCACTATATCCGGTCTCCCCGGACCCTGCATTCACTATATCTGGTCTCCCCGGACCCTGCATTCACTATATCTGGTCTCCATGGACCCTGCATTCACTATATCTGGTCTCCCCCGGACCCTGCATTCACTATATCTGGTCTCCCCGGACCCTGCATTCACTATATCTGGTCTCCCCGGACCCTGCATTCACTATATCCGCTCTCCCCCGGACCCTGCATTCACTATATCTGGTCTCCCCGGACCCTGCATTCACTATATCCGCTCTCCCCCGGACCCTGCATTCACTATATCTGGTCTCCCCGGACCCTGCATTCACTATATCCGCTCTCCCCGGACCCTGCATTCACTATATCTGGTCTTCCCAGACCCTGCATTCACTATATCCGCTCTCCCCCCGGACCCTGCATTCACTATATCTGGTCTCCCCGGATCCTGCATTCACTATATCCGCTCTCCCCGGACCCTGCATTTACTATATCCGGTCTCCCTGGACCCTGCATTCACTATATCCGGTCTCCCCCGCACCCTGCATTCACTATATCTGGTCTCCCCGGACCCTGCATTCACTATATCTGGTCTCCCAGGGCCCTGCATTCACTATATCTGGTCTCTCAGGGCCCTGCATTCACTGTATATGGTCTCCCCGGACCCTGTATTCACTATATCTGGTCTCCCCGGACCCTGCATTCACTATATCTGGTCTCCCCGGACCTGCATTCACTATATCCGGTCTCCCAGGACCCTACATTCACTATATCTGGTCCCCCAGGACCCTGCATCCACTATATCTGGTCTCCCCGGACCCTGCATTCACTATATCTGGTCTCCCCGGACCCTGCATTCACTATATCTGGTCTCCCCGGACCCTGCATTCACTATATCTGGTCTCCCCGGACCCTGCATTCACTATATCTGGTCTCCATGGACCCTGCATTCACTATATCTGGTCTCCCTGGACCCTGCATTCACTATATCCGGTCTCCCGGACCCTGCATTCACTATATCCGGTCTCCCCGGACCCTGCATTCACTATATCTGGTCTCCCGGACCCTGCATTCACTATATCTGGTCTCCATGGACCCTGCATTCACTATATCTGGTCTCCCCCGGACCGACCCTGCATTCACTATATCTGGTCTCCCCGGACCCTGCATTCACTATATCTGGTCTCCCCCGGACCCTGCATTCACTATATCCGTCTCCCCCCGGACCCTGCATTCACTATATCTGGTCTCCCCCCGGACCCTGCATTCACTATATCCGCTCTCCCCCGGACCCTGCATTCACTATATCTGGTCTCCCCGGACCCTGCATTCACTATATCCGCTCTCTCCCCGGACCCTGCATTCACTATATCTGGTCTTCCCAGACCCTGCATTCACTATATCCGCTCTCCCCCGGACCCTGCATTCACTATATCTGGTCTCCCCCCGATCCTGCATTCACTATATCCGCTCTCCCCGGACCCTGCATTTACTATATCCGGTCTCCCTGGACCCTGCATTCACTATATCCGGTCTCCCCGGACCCTGCATTCACTATATCTGGTCTCCCCGGACCCTGCATTCACTATATCTGGTCTCCCAGGACCCTGCATTCACTATATCTGGTCTCTCAGGGCCCTGCATTCACTGTATATGGTCTCCCCGGACCCTGTATTCACTATATCTGGTCTCCCCGGACCCTGCATTCACTATATCTGGTCTCCCCGGACCCTGCATTCACTATATCCGGTCTCCCAGGACCCTACATTCACTATATCTGGTCCCCCAGGACCCTGCATCCACTATATCTGGTCTCCCCAGACCCTGCATTCACTATATCTGCTCTCCCCGGACCCTGCATTCACTATATCTGGTCTCCCCGGACCCTGTATTCACTATATCCGGTCTCCCAGGACCCTACATCCACTATATCTGGTATCCCAGGACCCTGCATCCACTATATCCGTCTCCCCAGACCCTGCATTCACTATATTTGGTCTCCCACAGTACACAGAACATGGAAATGCCATTATTTTAGTAAATATAAACTGCTAAATACCTTTTCTCATCAGCACTTAGAGCAGTCTTGTGACTTCTATCAGTATCCAGCAGAGCACTGGTTAAAGCTTGTAGGAGTTTTCATTCTGCTCTAAAAAGATGCAGAACCCCTGACTTCTGTCTAGATAGTGCTGATTGGCCTTGTGTTGATCACATGCACTCCCCCAAGAAAAAAAAAAAAAAAACCTCTCTAGCAATACACACTAAACTGAGCATGTGCGGAATGGCTATGGTTCAGTTTGTCTTATCAGGAGATAAGACATGGACATTTGAACAAGAGGAGGAGCAGAGAAGACAGGATCAAACAGCCTTCTTACAAAATGCAGAGGATTAACCCCTTAGGTTCTGCAGTGAGTATAAAGCATGCTTTACTGCATATACAGACTGATTTTGCTGTTGTGGGTTTTAGTAACACTTTAATTTCCTTTGCACATCATTGGGGATTCAAAGTGACTGTAGCGTCTCCTAGTTTACAAAACTAAGGCTACTTTCACACTGATCCTCCGCAAATACACAGCAAGAACGTTTTTACCGCACTTTCTGAGTATTTCTAAGGACATGTGACTTAACCTTTACCCTCCCGGCCTATGGCCAGATGGTGGCCGGCAAAATTCCTCAGCGTTCCATATGGCGTCCTCCCGGGCATGCGCAGTTTGCGCGATCTGTCACTGGCCGTGTACCTCGGACATGGCCGATGACAGATCTGAGTACCGGCCCCGTTGCCAGTACCATGTGACCTGCTGTGACCAATCACAACAGGTCACATGACAGTTGTATACAATGGATGGCTTCATTCATGCCATCCATTGTATACTAGTGTGCCTAGTTGTGAATGGTCACAGCGATCACATGCACAAGCTGGGCCAATCACAGCCCAGCTGTGTCATATGATTAGCCGTGGCCAAATCACAGCACAAAAAAAAAAAAAAAACCCTGAATGAATGGATGTCATTCAGGTAAATGCTTGCTTATAGCAAAGTAATTCTTTGCTATAAGCAAATTGTGTAAAAAAAAAAAAAAAAATACTGATCACTTCCCCAAAGTAGTACAATGTTACTATGGTAACTATGGTTACTATGGTAAAAAAAACTATGGTAACATTGTACTACTTTGGTCATATTGAAATATGAAAAAAAATCTTTAAAAAAAAGAAAAAAAAATGTAATAAAAAATTAAAAATAATAAAAAAAAAAAAAAATTGAAATAGTTTTTTTTTTTCATACTGTCACCAGTCAGTGTCCCTGATCACCGCAATGCCAGTTATATGATGACGCTGTACTGCACTGGTGACAGTATGTAAAAAAAAAATTGTGAAAATATTTTTTTGAATTTTTATATTTTCCGAAAAATTCTGACAAAAAAATACAACTTCAAAAAACTCGCCATGCCTCTTATGAAGTACGTCGGACTGTCTACTCTGCAAAAAAGGGGTCATTTGGGGGATATCTGTACTATTCTGACATTCTTGGACCTCAAGAAATTAGATTGGCCGTCAGTACTTCAGGATTGATCAATATTCAGATCTATACCATAGTTTGTGAACTCTTTAACTTTCCTACAAACTAAATAATACATCCTAATTTGGGTTATTTTCACCAAAGACATGTAGCAGAATACATCTCGGCCTAAATTTATGAAGAACAATTATTTATTTGCAAACTTTTCTAACAGAAACAAAGAAAAACGTGGTATTTTTTCAAAATGTTCAGCCTTTTTTTGTTAATTTAGCAAAAAATAAAAACCCCAGCGGTGATTAAATACCACCAAAAGAAAGCTCTAGTTGTGTGAAGAAAATGATTAAATTTTAGTTTGGGTAGAGTGTTGTATGACCGCGCAATTGTCATTCAAAATGTGAGAGCGCTGAAACCTGAAAAATGGCCTGGGCAGGAAGGGGGTAAAAGTGCCCTGTATGGAAGTGGTTAAAAATTGCACCAAAAACACTTCTCAGAGGCATTTTTGAGGTGCTTTTCAGGCGTTTTTCAGGCATTTTCCAACGATTTCAATGGGAAGAGGCGTTTTTGGGGCGTTTTTTTTTTTAACTCCTCAAACATGACCCAAAGATGCTGCAAGCAGACGTTTTACACCGCACCGCAAGCGCAACACTTCAATGTGAAAACATACACAGATATACATTCACATACATAGGGAAGCATTTTTCTTGAACTTTTCAGGTGCTTTTTTTAAACGCAAAAACGCTTCAAAAACTCCTCAGTGTGAAAGTCGCCTAACAATGAATGTTACTGTAAGCATGATGATCTTTTTTTGCACATGCCTTGAACGCACGTGAAAATGAGTGCTGTTACACACATTCATGGAATAATTAAAGTGTGAAAGTCGCCAAAGTGAACAATTTGTAAAGTGAACATTCACTTTGCTACGCCAACTGTGTCTATTTCTTTAGTAAAACAACCCGAACCAATCCGATTCCCTCTATCAATGATCTGATTTAGTCTTGGCTCTTTCCATTGCTTTATTGACGAAACCCCTAGGCCTTTACTTACATTTAATTTCTCCATGTTCCTCTGCATCACATTCCTTTTATGGCATGCTAGCCAATTATTCCCGCATTTATTTATGATAGTTGCTAAGCAGCCAACATGCCGACAATATATTTCATTACAAGGCATATTGTTCTGTAACTCAATCATGTAACTATCCGTGTTATCAGGTTTTTTTTTTTTACATGTACCATTTCAAAGTACTCCATGGACCCGTGCCAGGCTCATGTCCTTCCTAGGTTTACGTTCGTCTTAACAAAAAATTGTTTTACCTTTCAAAGGGGAATTAAGAAAGAAAAAAAAAATCCTCATTTTCAATATCCCTTTTCCGAAAGTCCCGTTGAAATCTATTTCATTTCCCCATCTGGTCCCCAAGAATTTTCTCTGGGAGAAAAGAAGAAAAAAAAAGAAAAACTTTTCTGGGCTGCCATCCAGGCAGTGTCACAATTCACAGCTGTAAAGTTTGATCCAAGTGCTTTGAGCTGGCAAGCAAGGTAGAGCCAAGAGAGATTAAGAGCTCCTTTATATAATAAATCTTCAGACGGACAAAGCTGGTGATGACAGAGGAGAAGTGAGAAGCAGAAAGACATGCTCAAGTGGAAACAAGTCGAAAAGTTTGTTACACTGACACTAACTAGAAGGGCACAATGGGTGTTCATCTCGGCTTGTCTCGGCTAACTCCCAGCTCTTTGCTAAGTGTGGAGAGAGATAAATATTATCTCCGTATTTACGACCAGGCGTTGGCGGAATCCAATGTGTTGTGCGCTGGCATGCTAATACATATCCAATAATAATTTGTTCGCCCAACGTACGGCGCTAGGCGCTT